GTTATAGGAATTTGAACATTTCGGTTTTTGCCCTCGGAAATTCCTCTCCCTGACACGTCTCTGGTTACTGCGTGACATCTCGCAGCGCCTTAAAAGTACATGAGAATCTACACATATTCAAGGCCATTTTCATCACCAAAAATAACACGGTTGATTTTATTGGCACAAAATATATTCTTGTATACATAGTCTACTCTACTTCCAATGTTTTTTTCCGCATAGTTGTTTTGACGGTGGTGTCTTGAAACCAAAGCGACGCCTACTGGCTAGGTCTTGCCATACTGACAAATAAAAGCTTTTTTGGATTGCAGTTCTAATATTCTACGCCTAGATGGGATGAAAATAACTGCAATTAAACAAGTGCAGTCACATTTAGATCAGGTTTTGTCCTGATTCTCGAATTCGTAGAACCTAGCTCTGGGCTCAACTTAGACTGGCACGATATCTTTTGATTGCTGTTTTAACACTTGTAATGAACTTATGAAAATTGATGTTTAACTCACTGTCTCTTCACTCGTCTAATATTGCTAATCTTTCGATAACGGTGGCACGATTGACCCGATATCAACAACAAATAGAATCTTTTTCTGATGAAGATCTTAAGAATCAGCTATATTATACCCGCATCACTTTGGTTTTATTCAACATGTAATCCCCTCCAGCAGCCTGGTGCCCTCTTTTTCATTAGTCCAAGCTTTGTAGATGGAGTCACGCACACGATGTTAAAACCTCAAAAGAAGCCGCAAAACGTTGGGAATTGCTTTTTACTATGCTTCAGCAGAAACTGGGAGCAGTCATTTATCTGGCGATTGTTCAAGTTTAGTTGCGTCCACCCAGAATGCTTAAAACTCGGGGTTATCGCCCTTGTTTACATCTAGTATGCATTGTTTCCCCGTGTAGCATCTACAAATGGCTGAAGTCAAATTTAGAGTTCTGTTAAAATGTTGGTGTCAGAAAGTGCTCAACCAATGCCAGTATCCCTCCATTTAGTGCATAGTCGTTTATCCATCACTTATTTCTGTAATCTGCGTTTGCGATGAGTGCGGTTGGATGTCTGAAGCTCTCTTTGACTCTGTTGTTAGTTCAAACGGCCATGGTCGGGCTAGCAGAGCACCGTGGACGCATTGCTGTTATCCAAAAAGTTGCTGAGGCTGATTACGTTGGCCATTTGTTAATTGGGTGGCTAGAGCGGTTGATACAAATTAATCCCTCTTTTTACTCTTCATCCTGGTGCTAGAAGTCTCCATAGGTGTGGCTGGATAAACAATTAAAAGGTTGAGATGTTCTCGTTTGGTCCCCGAAGACGAAAATGACTGCCAAACAAAAATCTAACATAACCAACATTCCGGCCTAGATATCTCCGATTCCTCAAGAACATCTTATCGAAGTCGTTCAATGTAACTAGCGATTTTGCACGCCAGTTTCTCTCTGCAAAGTCCCCAGATTTTCCTTTCGTTCAAAGTAACTTTCCACAGGACCCTCCAGATTTTTTTGAAACGACCGTTTTCAATAGTGTTTGTAAACCGTTTATTTCGATTTTCCAATTATCATCAGTACTGTGACTGGATAGGAATTCTACGTTGAATTGGAGTCTTCCTGAACAGTACTTTGTGGAATTAGGCCATTGAGATTTGGAGCCCATGTAGTCTCTCAGACTGAGTCAACCCTGACGTAATGAACCCTCTACTATTGGAGTTTTTCTGAGAAGGTCGGATATTCCTGAAAAATATATTTGGAAATATCAGACCAAATCTTCTTCAAATCGTTTTGAAAACCCATTTACTCAACCCGGCCTTTTCTCAAACTGAACAAACGTTACATTTTCTCCGGCCATCTTAGTGAACTCCAGATAGGCAGTTCATCACCATCGTTTGCGTGATTCAAATTCCTGAAATATAAGTCGACGTGGTACGAAATTAAACACACAGTCTAATCAGTGAGCTTCAATGAGGGTTGGGTAAGAAATCTTTCTTTTGCGAAGCCCACAGAATATGACGGTTTGAGTATGTTTTGAGCCAACTGGTTACGTCCGGCTGCACTATTTTTCATTATTAATTTCATTTGGGACTTAGATTATGATGCTACGACAGACTAGTGCTCTGATCACACTAAATTTATTACATTTGTGTTCAGATAGTCGTAATTTGTGGTGAAGGTGGAATGATTTACGATTTGTAGCATAAAAACGTTTGGTCGGGATGTGCGGACCTTTTCGATTCTAAGTGAACTTCCAGGTGGATAGCTGCCTCTGAAAATTTTGTACTGATTGCCTGCTGCAACACATTTTTTGTACTAAGAAACAGAGTAATATCAGCGTGGTGTAATCTCTTTCTGATAAAATATTCCAACAGTCAATTCTTTTGCTGACATAGCAAACTGGATATGAACGCCACTGTTCAGTTTCAGTCTGAAAACACCATTAGAGGCTCTTATGTCAGCAGATCAATTCGCCCCATGACAACGCGGTAACGCACCATAACTTTTCAGTCCCGAAATACTCGGTGCCGTGAAAGTCAGATAAAGGCGATCCACGGTTTCTTCACTTGCATCGTGTGCTGAGTACATCTTGGAATAGGTGTTGAATCTATAAGTAAAACGCGGAATAATTTTATTCGGTACCGAATTTCCTAGTTTGCGATGAAAATTTGATTGTGGATATGAAGAGTAGGTAGCATGCTTACAAAACATGTGTCATTCTGCTTGACTGCACAACTCAAAATCCAAAAGCACGATCTCCAAACAGCATCATGGGACACTAGAGCCCTGGTTCTCCTAATCTTCATCTTATTCGCTGATTACCTCTTAAGACGGACAGTAAAGTATGTATGCGTGTAACTTAAGTTGTGTTGTTTTAACTAACTGGGCATGGACAGTCGAACTATCTGTCAAGGAAACAGTTGAAAGAATAATTATCATGGGGCTTTACTTCATTAATTTTCAATTATGTGGCCAAAGACATCAGTAAGACAACAAGATTGTGCTGATAAGATTTGTGTCAGCCTGAAAGTTGGGCACGTTTCGTAATCATATTGATATCAAGACGGTAAACAGAAAGTCAACAGATTATCCATCAACCATTTATCATGCTGAATCGCGCGAATACGAACAATATATAGATACATCTGTGTAGTGTGCATTTATGTTGATCGGTATTGTGCTAAGTACATTGCTTTCTGTGTCATTCTAATATCTGGTGGCTATCGTTCGAATGCCATAAAAGGCCGCACAGACATGAAATTTCGGTTTACTTCGCCAAAATTTCAAGATTATCCTTGAATATTAAGGGCTGGTGTCCGCATAAGTCACCCGTTTGAAGGCCGACCATAAGTAGGTGAAAAACTTTCAACTTCCTTATATAACTTCTGCTTTTTAGGCCGGTGTAGAATCACTGGATATTCAGCATAACTCACTAGATTCTGGATCGGAAACACTCAGGAAGGCGCAAGTCTAGTCAAGCGCGATCTGAAGTCGCTTCACTGTAACGGTTTATTGGAATACTATCTCCTAGGAATGCTCCCTGATTTCAGTGTCTTTAAGCTCCAACCGTTTGTAACTGTGTTCAGACTAAGCAGCCGGAAAGTCAGTCTTTGATATTCTTCTATTATTTTCAGTGTTTATTATACGATAGGAAAAGGGTTAGATTCCCTGGAAGTAGCTCAAAACATTAAAAACATGGTAGCTTTTTTCGGAGCATATGAAGGACATCTTCGAAGACCTAATTACGTGAAACCACTTGGGCAGAAAAGCCCACCTTTTTACGACTCTTACCAAGAGTCTAGTGGACACCGGAGAGCGAAAACCGTTTTTAGCCCCAAAATGTAGTTAATCCCAAACATTTACACTACGCCCTTCTGCTAGATAAAGTGCGTCAGACTGACACACCAACATCGTTTGGGTGTTACTTTGCTTACATGTCTAACAGTTCAACACATCATTCAGAATGCCAACCGCTCTCGTTTTCAAATAGTTTCACCCTGTTCACAAATTACTGCTTAGACTGAGGCAAAACGTCACTTGCGTTTCTAATCATCCTGCACTGATCTGATGATGGCAGCGTAATGTGTAAAGTGCTGAACTTCTGAGCTATCTCACTGTTACTTATCAATGAAACCTAATCGGAATTTTGAATTCTAAACTGAACCTAAGGTACAATGCATAATATCCAGGAGTCCCTGGTATTCGAGATTGTGCAGTCTAGTAAAGGATGTTATGAATACTTTGAAACAAACGCTATTCCCCTTAAAACTTGATCGGGTTGTCAGAATCTGCAGACCTTCCAGTCACATTATTAATGTCATCGCGACCCTCGAAATTTTTGACAAATCATCAGTAAGGTTTTTGTTTCAGGAGTTGAAACAGAATGCAAAGTTAAACCTGCAGGCCAGTAATGTACGACATTTTGGCCACGGTTTTAACGAGCCATCGCTCCGCTACCATTTTTGTTATAACCAGGAGGGCGTGCGACGATAAATGCGCGGACAAAAGCTTTCCGAAAGTCTATTTACTAGATCACCGTAACACATTATAAGTCAGTGTTTAGGCCTCAAGAAGGAATATAGCTTCGAGAGGTAAGGATAGTTTGTTGAAAGCGACAAAACCAAACAACGAGTCAAGAAATTTTTTACTATGACAGATTAATTTTTAAATGAGTTTTTATTAGAAGCTCAAGCTTGCAGTTAAAATGGTTGGTGTGTAAGGTTGAAATATCGCTAGCCTTTAAGGAGGCTTTTTATGTTGATTGTATTTCCAGTTGACTCACTTTCTGTTAACAAAGAGTCGGCTGATGTTTTCATGAAGCTCTCAGAAAGAGGCGAGCGGAATATTTGTATATAGATGAAACGTCGTGAGAATTAAGTGTTTTAACTTTGAAGTCACTAAAATTGCTACCAAACCATATGAAGCATGTCATCGCTCCTAGGAAATATGTCCGTTTTTAGTGATTCCATTCTTTTTATTTTACAGCGCGAATTGAGGCTTACCTTGCTCGATATGCAAATCAGATGCCTACCCAACTGATAAATATTCTAAGCAGCATTCATGAACTGGCTTGCCAAGTTGGTGACACTGGCGCATCTACCGTGGCAATAAAGACACCACACTATTACGAAGGTGAGCTGTGCCATACGATCACCCTTATCGTCAACTGCCTAACTAAAGACACTTGCAGCGAGAAAATACCGTAAAATTCAGCTCACTCTTAATTTCACTCAAACGATACTTCCGAGAGACAACAAGTAAAATAGTTTGCGAATGCCTGCATATGTCCGCAACCTACGATGGAATGTTCACCACAGTGTTTTTTTTTAAATTGCGGACGCACTAGCATCGTAACGACATTTACCAGTTTATGTGGCATAATTTCATTCTTCGGGGCTTCATTATGTGTTGTATAATGCACACTAAAACAGCAAAATAAAATCCATAAACAATCAAGGTGTAACAGGAGGCGCTTTCGCTGTTAAATGAATTCAGTCTGGAAGAAGATATGTTTCAATTTCCAGCGATAAATTTTGATATAGGAATACTGAGAGATAACGTGAGTCAATCACCATATTATATTATTCTCAGTTTATCTTCGCTTAGCAGTACGCTTAGCGAGAATGATATACCAACCTTCAGGTACATTTTTTGAAGCGGCAAGAAGCTTTATCCATATTTCAAGAAGATTTCCGGCGGGTTGCGTAAAAGCACAATTCTGGGAGGATAACCAACCAGCTGAATGTGGACCGTGTTCTGGGGATGGAAATGGTGTCACTCGAAGAAAACTGAAGTAAACGTTCAGTGTTCAGAACAATCGTTTGTCAATCAGAAGCTCACTAAAAGCTGTCTTCTTACCAGCTTTCGACTAAAAATGCATTCAGTCGGCTTTCAAGCATTTGGAAATCCTTTTAAAGTAGTTTGCAATATACGCTTGGGGAAGCACACACATATTTCGGAAGGATGTAGGCGTTGGTAGACTAATTATGGGTTTCTTTACTGCAGACAACGTCTCAAGCCAGATAGCGTAAAGGTTTAGGGTCTAGAATTTGGCAAAACATTTTAAAACTTTTTGTGGATGAACTAAAATTTCTCTAGGGGTAGTCTTATGCACTTTGAAATGCCTAGAATTTTGAGGAGGACGCCGATGTCAGAGGTAACAGGTCCTTATAACGCCTGTATCCAAAACTATTTTTGGGTATATACTGTTTCTGAAACTTTTTGATAGTTTTGTATCTCTGGGCCGAACAATTCAAGCCTATCATGTCGCTCTCAGAAATCGTAAATTCAATTTGCAAACCATAAGTAATTTAGCTGGTGTAAATGAGGCATGGGGATTTCACTGGCTGTAGCTGGAAGATAGCGCATATGTGGTGAGGCAAGGTCGTACAATGAGTAGAATTGTTCCGAGTAAACCTGTGTGGGCTAGTAGCTGATGTTGTTTTTCTTGCCCAGTGGTATCAATCGCGGTTGTATGGTCCAAAACGAACGGTTTTACTGAGTGAGAAGGTAACCTATTTGATCAGATTTTAGCGACAACTTGAGGATATGGTGTCGGTGAACAGATGAACTGATCTTTCCTCTAGCCACAAATAATCTTCGAATTATATTGGGACAGTGGTTGTGCAGGTTATCCGCTGAAACTATGTGGACCCTTTGGTTGGCACCGGTGTCACTCTCACCGTTCTCCAGCTACCGTCAATTTTCTGACCATAAAGAGATGAGTTGAACATGGTCAGTACGAATTCTGTGAGTGTCAACACATTGCTTGAGCAGCACAAGTGTTGGAATTCCGGGGCCTCTAGCATTTCCGGGCTTATGTTTGGAAGTGACTCGCCGATTGCATAAACTCTTTAATCACCCTGATTTTACACACGGGACCAAGATTGCTCCATGGTTGGAGCGCGAATTTACTGACCTGAAGCTTCCGATCTCGGCCTCTTGACTTCTTCTGTCTAGGATTCGGGACCAGGCAGTATCCCTGTGTTTCCCTCGGATGCCGTGACAGCTAGGCATGGGAAACATGTTACAACCGAACAGTTATGATAATTTGACTATCAATAATTTTACACACCGGTGTATTAAACAACACTGCTAGGTTGGTGCGGAACCAATTTTGTGACCAAGACAAAGCGCTTACTAGACGTACACCTTGCTACAACTCAAGGCTGTTCTTTTGCCGAACCAATATTCGCATGTTAGTCACACCGATGGTTTTTTTTCTTAAGTGTGACTTATCCCGTCAACCACTTAAAAGATAAACTGTTACTGACTTGTAGAATTTTTTTCTCGGTTGCAAAGTGGCTTAGGAGTCCGTGACACATTACCAATTTCCGGTGCGGCTACATTAGCATAGATAACCACTAGGAGAGGCAGTACTAAACCTCTATGGTACATAAAAAATGGGATTATTTGTTTCACTCCTCAGTCGGCCGATGTCATTTCATGAACACTTTTTTTCAGACAACCGGGCTTCTTTTTTATGGAACAGCTTTGGGTATACTGCACTAAAAAATCTTGAGTGGGTAGGCCAAATGGAAATCACCGCATAAAACTGTCAGAATGCACTCGCGTATAAAACAATTGAAAAATTCTTATAGAAAACCTTAATCAAGCACGTGCTCAAATCCTTTGAGAAACTATAGATAGAAACCGGTCAAAGAACGACGCCAAACAATTAATGAAGTGGCCTGAAAAAATACATTGTGAAAAGAAATACTGAGCGAAATGTGTAGGCTTGCAAGGAAGAAGGCAAGATAACCACCACGAGGCAGCCAACATCCACATTTCAGCATCAGGAATTCGGCAATTTGAAAGGCGAATCATGAAGAGCATAACGCAATGCAGGTAATACGTCTTAGATGAAACTTTTGCCAACTAATTGACAAGCTTAGTAAACAACTCAACGATCAGTATCATATTCCACATCGAATGGTGTTTCAAGTTGGCAGAAAGATGCAATAAGACATTATTGAATCGCAACGACTAGCTAGTGTTGTGTACCGTCAAATCAACAAAAAAAATGGAATGATGCTGATTGACACTAGGTTCGGCGGGAGAACTGGTCGGATGCGGCCAGTGAACTAGATTCTAACGGCAAACATTAAGCTCTCATGTATATCATAGCTCTTGAGACCATTAAAAGCGTCGGAATATTGTAGGCCCGCCATTTATAACACAGTGTCCGCTCCATTCACTTCTGAATTCCTGGTACGCACAAACTAAGCAGCAGTTCCTAGTGTTGAATTTAATTAGTTAATCAGAACAATGTTCCCTGAAATGGTACCTCGGGCCCGCTAGATAAACCATTACTCAGAAAACTGAAGGCGTACAGACATGCGGTAATGCGCCGCGTCCAACATAGTCATTAGTTCTATGTGGGTCAAACCGGGAAGTTTTACAACGCGCTTCTCAAGCAGTTTAAGTCGCAGAAATCTGTGCTGAATGCCTTTTGAGTGCGATTCGCCATACTTCATATATACGTGGTGAATCTAGATTATAACTGCCATGAATAAAGTGTATCATTGTAAAGTCATTTGCCGCTTACACAAATGGCACATTTCTCCAGAATGCTCCGCAAGAAAGTGTGATAAGTCATGCTTTTCTGGCTGGGTGAAATATTCAAAAAACAACTATATACAGTCAACATAGTGAGGACCAATATCCTTATAATTAAAAATTTATTTGGACTAACAGTTACTCAACGGAATGACAAATTGGTAAACCAAACCGAACCAAACACGCTGCACGCACACACAAGTTGAGAATATAGTGGCATAAGATGTTCAGTTTTCTGTTGACTTGTCAGTTTCTTTTTCTGACTGACTGACGACGCGTGGCAAAAACTAGTGTAAGTTTAAAAGCTCAAATAGAATTTCACCGTATTCAACTCATTCTTCATCAGGGGTGTGGTCACCTTTTTATGTCGTTCCTTCCAAGCGAAGGGCGGAACGACGTATCCGGCAGCCTGATCAGGATGACTATTTTGATTTTTCATTGATTAAGTTGTGTTACCTCGTAAATATGTTGACTGAAACAATTTTCACGAAAGCATACAGTACTGTAGCATCTTTAGACTGACATGCAGTATCAGCCGCGAGGCGTCAACGCTCAGTTCAAGGTACTATTTCACCAGCAACCGTCAATCTAACGCGTTACCCGACCATCATGGGAAGCCCTGTGGTGTACTTGCGGTGTTACACTGACGAATGGCCTCACTACCCCATTATTAAATCTGCTTTACCGACTGGTTCATTGCCATACTAAGGACGGCTAATGACTGTTAGCAGTTACCTGCCGGTGTTTAGTGTTGACAGGCACATCCGTAGTGAACCCTATATCCTTAAATCATCCGTGATTCATACTTTTTTGACCCACAAGATATAGTGGAAATTCTTTGGGCAGATGTGAATCACTTGAACACATATAGTTACGGACACCGATTCAGATACAACTATTTACCAGCTCGATTTGCCGATGGAGCTCAACCAACCATCGAAACCAGAACGCCACAGTAGACTGCAGTTTTTTATCGCAAATTAAGGAGGTTCGGTAGTGGATAAACTGATTAATAGATGTCACAGTACGCAGATAAACTGTGTAAGAAGTTATATTTCAAACTTTATTGTTGAATATCAAGTGGATCTGTACGTCATGTGATTGTATAAATTCTACCCCCGGATATTTTCTAAAATTGTACCAACAAGTTCCACCCTTTGGAGTCGAAAAGTACTCCACATTAAACGTACTTGTTAACATCAAGAGGATATCTATCCCCTGATTATTTACGGTCATCTGTACACATCCTTTGTAAAGTGGCTGGCTTTATGATGAAACCCTCGACGCTGAAGAAGTATTTTCCCATACGACCACTGAAGATCAGTGAACCATGGACTTACGATCCTAACCTGGATAACTGGAGGGAAGAAGACTGTGACCTTTGCATGAAACAAATTGGCGTAGGTGACAGGTGAGTTATGCACGGTACTTCATACATGAACACATTGTGTGTGTAAAATTTTGTATGCGGCCTGCAAGTAAAATACTCAACCAAGTCAGACGTGTCCTTCATCGAAGTGAAAATCATCCCTAACGGAATATTTGTATGAATAGTGCTTTACTGTTCTCGTAAACTGCCGCAAAAACTCTATAACATCCAAATTCACAAACGATAGTCTGTGTGACAAAACAAACACAACCGACTAGTTTCAAAATGCGTTAACGAATAAAACCAATGGTTTGAACGATATTTTGTTTACTGGAGAGGGATTGGATTGATGGGTCAAAAAATAAAAATGGATTATGAAATTGTGGCTCTGTATGTTTAACGTCTATTTTAAAGAATATTTCCTTTTCCAGCTGCCTTGATAATCCCGTTTGGGTGATCTGATTAGTAAATTAAGCTTTTCTGATAATATTTATTGGTGGTTCACTGTCAAGATAAGACGTCTTGGAAAGCATTCAAAAAGCATAATGATGCTTGAATGTTTGAACATCCCACACAGTTGTTAACCCTGAATTCCGAAATGGTGCACAACCTAAGATGTTTCAATTGTCATCTCAGTCATTTTGTAAAAATGGATTCTGGATGGCCTACCATTGAAGACTTATGGCACTTAGGTCATTTGACTGTTTAAGAAAACTCAATGTTGGAGTATGTGTCCTCAGACGGCAGTGTCTGAAAAGATTACAGGCAAACCTTGAGGCCACGTGTTGCCCCCCGAACAATATTGATATGGAAAAATACATCATATATTAATATTAGAATAGTATTTGGCAGTCTGTCTAATGTAACTCACTGACCGTGCCCTTACAATTGCGGTTATCTGCTTATAAGCAAGCGGCATCGGATCAAATCCACCTCTAGGGAATAACACCAGATTTAACTTAGGAAACAGCTTGATGTTCACTTGTCAGCCCATAAACTTTCTAGGATTTTTAGTATGCATTTAAAAATTGCAGATTAAAGGAGCACTTTAAATTGGTTTCAGTTGATCGTTACAACCCAGATTACTGTACGAGTTCTCGTCGTTTATCGCACGATACTACTAGATAGGTCATATCGGAGAAAGGAATTAAACCGACGCGTTTCAATGCAAATTGTTGATGCCCGCAACACATGACATGAAATTCGTATTGATCGACTATCGTGACAACTCAAAATGCTGCTGAAATGTGCCGTTGGTGGTTAATCAACAAATTTGTTGATTTATTATCAATATCACTGTTCCTGGTTAACTTGTTTTGACGATCGAACCAGCTGACACGAATTTTGCTCCTAATGCATGTCACGAGAATTCCGCCTTTTTAGTTAGTTTCGACATGCTGGACAGAAATCTCACCAAAAACGACAAAGTTGCCCCAAATGGTTAGACGTGTTTATTAAATGTGAATGATGTGGATTAAAATGGCAAAAATCTTACAACCAGTCACAATTAATGAAGCGAAATTGCCTGACACCCCCCACGGTTTCCTGACGCCAAATGACCAAAATATCCCAGCAGGCGGGTCACACGATCAATACCAACAGGAAGTTCATACAATGTTTCGTAAATTGTATGACAATTCAATCATCTTGCGCAGTGGAAGAACGCATTCTCATTTTACGACAGTATCATCCAGGCAATCTGTGAATTTTCGTTGTTAGGGCTTAGGGTTGAAGATATTCTTAGGTCGGTTTGCGAATTGGGAATCATATTTTAATTAATTTAACCCCTAGGTCGATGTGCTAGGATAAGAAACCATCAAAATGGCTTTGTTACACTAAACGGAAACGGAATGTTAGAAAAATGATAGGAATTTATTCTGCTGTTCAACTCCGCACACTGGAATTTTCAGCATTTGTCTTTTTGGATAACTGTCCGTTCAACTCATCAGTAACTCTGAAAAGCTATGATCAAAAGTGATAAAAGCCCACGTTGCGGTCTGAGGGGCAGGGAATCCCAAGGTTACTACTGCTTTGATCTAGTCGATAAATACAGCGGGGCTGAATTTGACTTATGCACAAAAATCGACTAAACGAGTGGTGTTTTTGACGTAAATATTATGATGTGCGTCACCATAATTGGCATTTGTTTGCAACTCATCTGAATTTCACCGCAGTATACGTTTAGGATTGAGCGCCAAACCTGGTTATCGTCTGACAGCAGAAGAAACGAAACCAATAGCCTTCAGTGAAACTTGGTCGATCATACATGTTCTTTTAAAGTTTCCTTGCTAGAAGCGCTAGTTTCAATACTCAGAATCCCATGGATTTACCACAGACAGTTTTGGGTGTTAAAAAGGGTAGTTGTTGACAGTAATAAGCAAATAGCATTTGGTGTCCATAAAATACAGGTCACCACTTGAAGCCTCAGCAAGTCCCCCACACCTACGAAATCTAAAGTACAGAAGCATGGGTGAGATGCTTTCGCATTTAAAGCACTGAGCTGAATGAACAGAAGGGTGTTTTGTATGAAATCATGGGTAGAAGGAAGTTGGTGAACAGCAGTAAAAACAGTGTCACCCGGAACAACCAAAGACTGCTATTAGCGTGGCATGAAAACACGGAATAATTCATGGTAGCCGATAGCAAACTAAAGTTTCTCCTGTGGTTTGATAATTTCTGCTCATGGTAGATAAATAAAAAATTTTGAAGCGGATGGAAGGATCACTACGGGTTCCCAAATCAAGAAAATGAATGATCGTATTTATTCGTTCAAACATGAAAGAAAGGAAGGAAAGGTAGTATTTTAACAAGTCTTTGCCAGGATCAGTACTACCTAAGTAATGTCACCGCAGTTTTTCGATGGAATCCATGGTTCACAGATATACGAGCACAAGCACATGAAACACAGGTGGGACGAAATAACCACACCTATACCCGTTTTGAACAGATACTTTTATAACTTGGATAGGCTATTGGTGATGGACCACAAGTGTCTGTTTGTATCCAAGCGCAAAACAGCTGATTACCTTGATCCGGGATACGCGAAAAGGTTGGATGTTAATGATTTATTGGGAGAATTGACACATGTGCGAATGCCACAGAATTTTGCATTTTGTTAGGAAGATTGTTCTAGTATATTTCTAGCTCTGTGTGGATAAAGTTGCATTCCTTAGTAAGACGTTAAATGGTGAAATACCAGCTGAAGTCTCTATAAAGATGGGCAGAAATTAGCGCTACGAAATTACCCAGTTGATCTTTCCAAAAGAGAGCTGTAGTCAGATAGTGTCCAAGCGAACTGGGATTTCTTACAGCTTCACCAAATCCAAGGTGTAATGACAGAAATATCTATTCCGGACTTGCAAATAGATTTTTATCTGAGGAATTTCCTTTGGATATCACCGGGAAACGGTTACTCAACCAAACGAAAAACTGAAACACATCGCTTCAACTTACGTGAAAAAACCGCACCTTGTATGATTGCAAAACTGCTGCTACGTTATATGCATTATTATATTATATTATATTATATTATATTATATTATATTATATTATATTATATTATATTATATTATATTATATTATATTATATTATATTATATT